GTATGGTCTCTATGGAGGACCTGGAAAGTTTCCTACGACATTGATTTCTGCATTGCCTCCTTTTATTATCGGGCAGCAGTTCGTCGGATGGTCCAGCTTCGTGCATATTCCACATGCTCTTGTTACCCCAAATTTTCATGCAACAAGTGAATTAACAACTTCAGTTATTTTATCTAATTTGTTTTCAATGGAAAAGTACTTATCTCGTGAACCTGTCGGTTGGGTTCACTTGAAAACTGTTGAGAGTTGGCGGCCATGGTTGAAATAAACTCTTTTGATATTGTTGGGGTCATGTTGACTAATGCTCCTCTGCTAGAGGCATCTACAATTTTCATTTCCATAGATAAAAGATCTTAATAAAAGTATTGAAGTAACGTTTGCTCACTTAATTCGTGTTGCGGACAACTTGCGCAAAGCTTTTTAAATATTTCCCAATAGTCATAAAGACTTTCTTCACTCTTTTGTTGAATGGAGAAAATGCTCCTTCGTAACTCACTTCCTTTAGCCACTGGGAAGAACCTGTCAAGAAAAATTCGACTCATGTCAGCCCATGAATTAACTGAATTTGGAGGTAAATAAAATAACCAATCTTTAGCCAAGCCAGCTAAAGAGAAAGGGAAAGATCTCAATTTAATTTGATATTCGGTAACTCCCTATGGTTTCATGCTAGTACAAACCATGTGAACTTCCAATAAGTGTTGGTGCGGATTTTCATTGGAAGTTTGTGGAAAGTGGGAAAAAGATGAATAAGTCTTGTCTTTAACTGAAATGGAGTCCTGCCATTAGGAAAAGTAATGCATAATGATATCTGAGTGACAAGAGCTGTGGCTAACTCTAAGATCATTTGTTCTTCTTCTTCTTCTTCCATCGGGATTTGATCTTCGTTATATGTGTCTTTTTCAGAGTTTGTCTACGGATTTGATTCCATTTCTGAACTCTACTATTGTTCTTCTTGTCTTTTTCTCTTTTTTTTCGAAGCGTTTGTGCGTGGATTCTTCGTTCTCGTGGTTTGATCTCCGGGTCAAGATCTACTAATTCTCTTGGGTTTCTTCTGGTCATAAATCAAAAACAAAGAAAAATAAATAACTACTTGTCGTAAGTCCCCGGCAACGACGCCAATTTAACACGTGTCCTTTTCGAGTCAAAATAATTCCTTAATCCCAAAAGAAATATAAAGAAAATATAGCAAGTGGAAAGTAAGGGTCGATCCCATAGAGACTCTGCAGTTTCTGATTCAGTTATCTTCTTGTTTCTGAACGGTAGAGTTTGGATATGGATGAAATTTAAGGTAAAAAAATAAATAAAATTATAAAAATAAAGATGAGATAAGAATAAGATAAATAGGTGGTTTTGAGTTAATTAAAACTGTTTGAAGATAAGATAAAGAAAAAGTAGACAAATAATAATAAATAGTATAAAATAATAATTAGAGTTTGAATAGAAGACTTATTGTAAAAAATAACCTTAGGCTTTTAACTTTGACTCAGTTTCCTCGGATCATCGAAATATAACTTTACTGCAGGATTTACGTCGGTCACTTGTCTACAAGGACAAATCCTTGTAACTATGTTTTGTATACCGAATACCCAAGTGCAATCTTTAATATTGGTTTGTGAATTGATCTAAGCAACAACAATGTTGTAGATCTAAAAACGTTGAGGCTCGAAAACTTATCGACTCGGATTATGTTGTTTCAACAATAATTGGTTCCGATCTCAGTTTCCTCTTAGCAAACAATTTTGCTAAGTGTGTTCCCAGGAAGTCGAATATGCTTCGATAAGCCGACCCTTCCTACAATATTAACTATAACAACATCCAGACCAACGGTGACTTTTTGGTTTTGACAATTGTTTTGATTTGAAAATAAGCCCAGGAAACTGCGAGAGATATCCGAAGTGATTTACGTGCCTTACAACTCTCACATTTGGAATTGAGCCATCGCTTTAGGCTTCGGCTTAAAAGAAAATTAGCTAAGCATGACCAAAGTCATACTTAGCATATTTAAAAATAAAAGTGGAAACAAAAAAACTTTGAAAAGGAAAAGAAAAGAACTTTATTGAAAACTCAGGGCAAAGAAGAGAAGAATAATTCTCATATATCTAAGCTGTAGAGATATGTTTTTAGGTTTACCCTAGAGGGTATTTATAGCCTTCAAAATCCTAAAAACAAGGAAAAGATAATTCCTAAAATAATGAGATAAATTCTAAAGATAATTCCTAAACTACTTAAACTAAAACTCTTAAAGATAAACATGGAATAATAATAAAAATAATCTTAAAGATAATTCTTGAATTAATTAAACTAAAATCCTAAAAAACTTGGGATAATATTCAATTTGAACTTCAAAACACATGGTTGATCTATTCGTCCTTCTAGAACCCTTGACTAGACCTTCTGGAAGGTGCTGACGTCATGCCACATCATATATGTCATTCCCAAAGTCATGCCCACTAATCCAGCTTTGATTTCGAAATAAAAAAACTATAGAATTCTTCCCTTTAATTGTATTTTCCAGAATCCAATGTCTTTTCAGAAAATTAATGAATCAAAACAAACAAAGCAGCCACAAAAACCTACAACCAAGGGGCAATTTAGACACAAAATATTAACTAAATAAATCACCTATCATGCTGGGAGGATGATTTAGAAGGTTTCTAGTCAGTAGGACGACCATGAAGTTTCCAACACTTCTCCCAAACACAGACGACTTTCTTACAATGGTCGCACCAATGACGACCTTTCTTTGAACGAGCATCACTTGTCGAGTGAATGTCAAGCATTGAACCATCAACGACAGTAGATAGAAACATCAATGAATGACGGCTTTCTTCATGGAAGACTTCGATAAACACTTCACGGATGGATGGAAGAGGTTTAATGCCCAAAATTATGCCACGGACGTCATCGATAGTAGATACTATCCCGGACATGAACTAAAAGACCCAGCATTTCTCGAGCAACCCTTTGAAAAGTCTTGCATCCGCACCGTAGCGCCAGTTATGGGATTCAAAGAGATTTAATTGTTTCCACGGGTGAGACAATTGAGTAAAATAATGTGTAGAACTCAGTTCGCCTTGTTTGAAATCACTAATCTGACATTCAATTCCAAAAAAGTAGTCAAATTATTAAGATTATAATAGGTTTCAAGGGCAGTGGTCCATATTTCGGCTGCAGTCGTATATATCATAAAATTTTCACCAATTTCTGACATCATGGAGTTGAGGAGCCAGGACATTATCATTGTGTTTTTGGTCAGCCATGTTTCATATTGAGGATCAGACGGGTCTGAAATCAACATATTTACTGAGATATACTGCTACTTTTGGTGACCAATGATATAGACAAACTGATTGAGACCAGGGAAGATAATTATCGCCATTCAAGCGATGACATATGATGGAAGAGGAGCCTACATCGGTGGTGATTAGGTGAGAGACGGAGGTGCCTACTTCCAGAGGAACTTCGGATGGTTACGGATGAACTATTGTTAGCCATAATAGGGCTTCTTAGAGATACATAACTTGAGGAGACAGCAGACGAAGGAACTGGTAGTAGCAAGAAGTGCAGCGTTGTTAGGGGGCGGCGTAGCGAGGAGAGCATCGCGGTGAGGAAGGTGGCGCGACTAGAAGGGGACGTTGCGAGAAGGGTGGCGTTGCGAGAGGGGATGTGGTGCTAGGGTTACAGTGCTGCAATGGTTTACGTGTTGTGGTCTATGCTGTGAGATGGGCGACTAAGAGGGCGGTAGGGCACTGGAAGAGCACAGTCGACCGAAATTTTAACAAACAACAGAGGGAGTAGAGGTTGAATAGACTCAGGTGACTGATACCATGTAGAAAACAATTTCTCAGAAAATTCTTCTTTTATTTCACGTTACAATCAGAGTTTACAGAGGAGTTTTTATACACATATTTGTAAAGAGTTTAAGATATATTAGGGATTGTATTACCTACAAATTAAGATTTTAGAGTTAGTGTTAAAGTAGAAAACTAATATTTACATCTAACCATAACTCTAAAAAATAACAATGTAGAAGACAAAAAAAAAACAAACCGCTCCGATCTAAATCCAAGAACAACAACAACAACAACAACAACAAGAACACTCACCAAACATAGATTTGTCACAAGCAAAACTGGCCTACTAGCAACCAAAAAAACAAGCACGCAGATCTAGAACAGAAGCAAAAGAGAGATGCACCAAACGAAGAGAGATGCACCAAACGAAGAGAGATGCACCCAACGAAGAGAGATGCACCTAACGAAGAGAGATGAGAGAATACCAATTGTAGAACCATCAAATCTAGCCCACTATTTGAGCCAAGCATGAAAGGTAACCACATAGAGGAGAATATAAAATGAAGTAGGGAATAAAGTATCACCAGGAAAAGGCTATTGATACCATGTTAAGATAACAATGAAGCTATCTGCAGAAGTAGAAAAGCAAACAGTAGAAGGAAAATCAAACATTTGAAAATCATTTCATTAACCATAATCCATCCTTTACAAGGAGAGAGAGCTGGTTATTTATACTAGAACGAGAGCATGATGATTCGAGAGAGAGAGCAAGTGAGTTGATAACAGAAAACCCTAACCACCTAACAGACTCATGCATGCATCGTGAGCAATAAGAGTGAGAAAGATGTCATGTCATTCATCACTCAAGAGAAGTAGACCTAGTCTATACACTAACAAACGTGATACATCAACATTATGTCATTCTTGTTGATCGATTTGTTATAAATCGATAATATTAGTGATCAATTTGTAAATTTTAAAATTTCAGTGGGGAAAACAAAAAATTGGTTAAACATTAGTGACCATTTATATAGTTTACCCAAATAAAATTGGGCTAATATTCTTCAGTGGATCCATTCTAAAGGCAAAAGAGAAACGACGTCGTATGTTGGCTGCCCATTTTCTTTCTCCTCGCAGTTTATTCTCGGAATTGAAAGTTTCCGGAGAATCATCAAAACAACGCAACTGGTTATTTTTTATTTTTATCCCTCTCTCGCTCTCCTAATTTTACATCGGAAAATTCCATATTCAATTGAAAACTTTTTGGTTCTTTGTTTTCATTCATCGCAGTGATAAATTTTATTCCTCGGAAAATTTCCTTATATTATCATAGATGGTTAGCCTAATTACCCGCCATTTTAATATATACTGATAATTTTCTTCGAGAATTGATCGATTTCTTCTTCTTCTTCTTCTTCTTCATTTTTTTTGTAGATATGAGTTTCATCAAAGACATAATAGACTATTTAAGCTCAATCATCTCCACCGATAGCTCGCCGTATGAATCTACCCCAAACCCTAGTTCTTCCACGTGCCAAAACATGGAGGGAATATCTGGAAACGAACGCACCGCGTATAAGCTCAAAGGATACTTCGATTTGGCCAAAGGCGAGATCGACAAAGCGGTTCGTGCGGAAGAATGGGGTTTAGTAGACGATGCCGTGGTTCACTATAAAAACGCACAACGAATTCTGGTCGATGCTAGCTCAACTCCCACACCTTCGTGTATCAGATCTAGGTATTTCGGTAATTTGCTTTGCGCTTCTGTTTTGATTTCATTAAAATGGATTCTGAGTCCTCAATTTGTGTTGTAGTGAACTAGAAAAGGTAAAATCATACAGGCAAAAGATATTGAAATGGCAGGGGCAAGTATCTGAGAGACTACAGGTTTTAAGTCGCCGATCAGGTCTTTAATATTTTACATTTTAATTCATTTTAGAATAATCGAAAAGCTTATACTCATTTCATTTAATTTTATTTCATGTTTTTAACGTATTTCAGGAGGCACATCGGCGAACAAGGTACGGTTTTCTCATTCAAATACTTGAACGTATGTTTTTTAAATGTAAACTTAACTATGTTCATTGGATGGAAACTGGTAAATCCGCATTGTTATTCTACCATTTTTAAATTGGAAATTTATGCGGTTGTTAGTTTTATGATTATTGTTTTCTTGTTTTCCCTTTTTTTATTATATAATATTATAAAATATTTGCAGAACACCTTAACTCAATCACAAACTGCTGCAGTTTCACCAAGAGCATCAAATTCTAGGAGAGAGGTATTACAAAAGTCTCCTCGTAACCTGGTGGTGAGAAACCAGATTGATAGAGTTGGAAGTTCGAAATCTGCAAAAGAACCTGCTAATGGTTATGAGTCAAAGTTGGTTGAAATGATTAATACAGCAATAGTTGATCGGAGCCCTGCTGTTAAATGGGATGATGTTGGTAAGATAATTGACATGTTTTTCTCTTGTTGGTTTTGCTTTCTAATTCTTGCATTGTAATTATGAACTTCTCTTATTGATTGCAGCTGGCCTTGAAAAGGCTAAACAAGCATTAATGGAAATGGTTATTCTTCCAACTAGAAGGCGAGACTTGTTTACTGGACTTAGAAGGCCAGCTAGAGGTTGAATCTTACAATATTATCACATTCATGAAGAAAAGTTTTCAGTGCTTGAGGAATTTATTTATTGAACATTACTGCTGCACTTTGGTTTCTAGGTCTGCTTCTTTTTGGTCCACCTGGTAATGGGAAGACCATGCTTGCCAAAGCAGTTGCATCTGAATCACAGGCAACATTCTTCAATGTTTCTGCATCCTCTCTAACGTCTAAATGGGTTTACCTCTGTCCTTGCTATTATGCTCTTTTCTTACTTCTAAAAGAAGTTAGTATTTAATGTGTTCTCCAATCTTCTTTCCTTACCCCTATGGTCCTCATGATTATGGCCTTTATAATCAATCAGGTAGGAGAGGGTGAAAAGCTTGTCCGGACTCTCTTCATGATCGCCATATCCAAACAGCCATCTGTTATTTTCATGGATGAAGTATATAATTCTCTCCCATAACTCATTGGATATAGTTTTCTATCCCCTAAAATAATTTTCTATCGTCATGTTTTGAAACTGCTTCAAGATTACACTTTTTGTCGCTTTGTTGCTCCTTGTATGTTCTGTTACTGCCTTCAAATTGCAGAGCAGTGTAAGAGATACTTGATTTAAGATTAATTTGTTAATCCTACTAGGTTGGATTTATTGCTGGCTGCTTGAATATGTATTTTATTGCTTTTTTAAGTATCCGTGTGATAATAAACATTCATGATCTGTAGGTCAAGCATAGCTTTCTGCATATCTTGCATTTAGTAAGCTGAAAGCCTGAACTGAAGATGAACTTGATGGATTTGATGTCATGCTCAAATAAAACAAGTTTAAAATGAAACACGATGGAAACTGGAAATGGAAATCATACTTGTAAATTTTTAATGTGATTACACAATTGTATAAGTCATTAATGTGCATTATTTGCAGTATGGCCATTCCAATCTGATTGGCTCTACCTCATACTCAAAAAAGCAATTATGATTTATTTTCTGTTTAGACACAATGTTGCTTCTGACCGTTTGTCAGCTTCAGTATTTCCAACTCATTCTATATCTATTTTGATATTTGCAGAAGTGAAATTTTATTATGTTACATTCGGCTACACTTTATGTATATCAATCAACTACATTTTATGTTATATTTATCTGGGTTGACTGCTTGGATTTAGCTGATGGTAGCAGGTTAATCATTGCTGACAGTTGATTTTATTCTTTTTTTTTTTCCAGATTGATAGTGTCATGTCAACGAGGTTGGCTAATGAAAATGATGCTAGCAGACGGTTGAAGTCAGAGTTTTTAATCCAGTTCGATGGAGTGACATCCAACCCCAATGATTTAGTAATCGTCATTGGTAAGTATTCATTTATTTACTTTCTGGCACTAGATAAAACTCTTGATCAAAATGGTTGGACATATTTGTTACCGGAAACTTGTCATTTGATGGTAATCTTTCCTTTTGTTTGTGTTATCCAAATATTCCTTGATTACATATGTATTTCTGTAATTGATTGTATGTACTTGTTTGTTCACATGTTTATGCAGGTGCCACTAACAAGCCTCAGGAATTGGATGATGCTGTTCTTAGAAGATTGGTTAGTATTAACTTGCTGCAATCTCATTTTCCATCTATTCAAATGGTATTCTGATATAATCCCATTAGACAGCTTTTTGATTGACTCATAATTCTATTGTGAATTAATGGACCAGGTTAAGAGGATATATGTACCTCTTCCAGATGAAAATGTTAGAAGACCTCTCCTAAAACACAAACTCAAGGGTCAAGAATTTTCCTTACCTAGTAAGAGATGTTCTTGTTCTGTAATCTATATAAATTCGTAACTTTTCATTTCTATGAGCTCATAAATGCATAATTATATGTATTTAGCCGAATACATATACCGAAGTGATCATCTGTCTTTTTTAACTGCTCAACCATGACCCTTATATGACAATTCAATTTTTGTTATCTGCGGTAGGTCGGGACCTAGAACGACTTGTGAGGGAGACAGAAGGTAAGATAATTCTCCATGTTATTCTTTTGAGCAAAGTGGTTCATGGATGGCAGTAGGTTTTTATGACTTATTTGATTAGCAATAAGACTGGCCAACACTAAAGCATTTTATCTATGTTGCGTCCACTGTAATTACAGTGCACTTAGGCAGCACTGTTGTACTGTTTGAAGATGGTAGTATTTCATAATGTAATACTTATCCTTTGGCTTCTTTTTGTGAATAGGATATTCTGGAAGTGATTTGCAAGCATTATGTGAAGAAGCAGCTATGATGCCAATTAGAGAGCTCGGTTCAAATATTCTTACTGTCAAGGCAAATCAGGTATTTCCAGCAAGAAACAAATCATTCCAAATTTGAATGGTAAGACTTGAGAGGGAGAAATATTATGTAGACTCATTCTACCACCTCGACAATGCTAGCATTCAATCATCTTAAGCCATACAAGCATTTTTTTTAAAGCACTCCACAACCCATAATCTCCCTGTTAGGGATATCATTCTTGCACACACACAATATCCCCTAATCCCTCAATCTCCATTATTAGCCATCCCCCTCCATTGATTCTCACTGTTACCCGGCTACATGGATTAATTTGGTTAAAATGATGACCATTAATCAGATTATCAATTTAATCCAACTTATAAGGGAACTCAAGCCCCCTTTTGGTGATCTTTTTACTGCAATTAACCTGGGATTAAGATTCAAATATTTCTGTCATGAAAATCTGATGGGTTTAGATTTGGATTATCTTTCTCAAGTTAGATCATGTGTTTGGTTGTTAGTAATCTGCTTTGCTCATTGACATAGACTGCCAAACAATAGCAGCATAAAGCTGTCCTTACAGACTGATTACAGATGATTGATATATATTTTAAAGCTGACCAATACTTCTTATTGCAGGTGAGACCTCTAAGATATGAAGACTTTCAGAAGGCAATGTCAGTTATTAGGCCCAGTTTAAACAAAAGCAAGTGGGAAGAACTTGAACAGTGGAATCAAGAGTTTGGGTCTAATTGAAATCTGTTTTCCGCTGAGCAGTGCATTATTTCCTTTGTCTGTTGAAAGAACAGCTTAAGCAAAGGTCGAAACGCAACTCGTAGCACCGCCTGCGCCTAACCAGTTGTGTAACTATTAAGAAGCCAAAACCCCGACACTGGTCAGGATGTAAATTGTTTTTGGGGGGTAATGATTCTCTGACGATGTGTCATTATAAGAGTTTCTTTCGGCTGACTGAAAAATTACACAAAATTGGACACTGGTTTGCTAAATCCTTAACCCTTGGATACCAACAGGCATAAAATAGTGAGTGATCTTATAGTCTTTTTTGCGCGCGTGGGGTGGATAATTCACTCTTTTAATAGTTACTGTATAAAGTATTTGGTGTTTTCTCGAAACAGGTTTTTTTTATGATCTAATTAGGTTTTTAAGATAAAAGGCACCTTATATTTCCCTTGTTTACAGTTTTTTAGGGTTAAATAGTGTTTTAGCCACTCAAAATATACCTAAAGATATGGTCTTTCAAAAATTTTTTTATCAAAAAATCACCCCAAAATGATAATCTACCCAAATAGCACCCTTTGACCAATATATGCCGAAATGTCACCCATTCGGATAGCATGATAAGAAGGCGCGTTTTGCAAACCGTGTTTTACTGATGTGGTTGGGTACTTAGGAGGCGCTTCTTGTGGAACACGCCTTCGCCAATAAATACCACTTACAATATTAGTATTAGGGTTTTGAAATACCACTTAAAATCTTTTGACCTTAAACATTAAAGTATACACACTAAATACACCATAAATTATAAATCATAAACTCTAAAACATAAATTCTAGACCTTAAACTCAAAATATAAACTATAAATCCTAAACATTAAATTATAAACAATAAACCCTTAATAGTAAAATATAAACCCTAAGTCATAAACTCTAAACCCTATACAATAAAGCATAAATAATAAACATTAACATTTAAACTTTAAACCCTAAACTATAATCATTAAACCTTAATGTTGAGTTAATCGATCGATGGAATCGGTCAAGAGGGGGTGAATTGGCAATTAAAATTTTGGTGGAAGCTTTGGCAGAAAATTGAAAAGATTTGCACAACGATTTAGAGTGGTTCGACTTTATCAACCAAAGTCTACGTCCACTACCTTAGCTATCCACACTAAGGATTTTCCAACAAATTCACTAATTTGTTCTTTCTTTTGAGGCCAAAGAGATAACCTTACAACACCCTCAAGAATATACCCCAATTCTTGAGAACACTCTTTTCTCAAACAGAAGATTACAAATTTGCAAACTTACAAGAAAAACCTCACAAGACAAATATGTTTACACAATTCTAGAACAAAGAAAGAACACTCAAGAATAAATACAATTGAGCACAATAAGTGTTCTTGAAAGCAAAATGAATATTGAATGAAAAATAGGCTTGAAATGCTCAAACTTGAGGTTTGATGCTTTCTCTTTGATTCTCTCTTGATTCTAGTTGCTTGTTGTTGCTTGTTATTGATCAATGGCTTAAAAAGCTTGTTTAAATACACCTTGAATCACTTCTAAACGTTGGGGATGATTAGTGGAGTCAATAGAGCCATTTAAGTGTGAAAACAATTAATAGAATTAGTTGGGAGCGTCAGTGCATCGATGCATACCCATGGTGCATCGGTGCATCAGTGTAAAATTCAAATATTTTGACCGTTGGACCCTTAGTGCATCGGTGAACTAAGAGTATATTGATGCATCAAGCGCATTCGATGTTTCAAAATAGCCAGAGTGCATCGATGCATGGCTGGTGCATTGATGAATCAAATGCATTCGATGTTTTCATAAAATCCTCAATGCATCGGTGCATGGTATGTGCATCGATGCATGAAATGCATTCGATGTTCAATTTAATTCATGGTGCATCGATGCATGGATTGGTGCATCGGTGCATCACTCTGAAAAATTGATTTTAGGCTTGATTTTGGTTCAAAATACTTTGTGAAAATTGTTTCAAAAATATTTAAGTATAAAACACAATTTTATACATTTGGTAAGGTTTGAAATTGATCTTAAAAGACTTGGAGTAATAATTTGATATTCGATTAATTGAATCGAATATATTTAGAAAATCATTTGTAAAATCTTAAAATTCACTTAAACTAATTTGTTATATCGAAATACAAAAATATTTTCAACAATCTCCCCTTTTTGATATAACAAAACATCTGTGTTAATTTAAGATTTTCTAAAATTTGAAATCAATTTTGAAAAATTACTCCCCCTTACTATAACACTTCTCCCTTAAAACATAACATTTCTCCCCCTTTTTGTTAAATCAAAAAGACTTAAAATCGATTTATACAAGGTTTTGAAAAACATAGCCAATTGATATATATATATATAGCTTAAGCTGCTAAGATCACAATCAAAAGAGAGATTAGCCATTAGTTTCATAATCAATATTCATAATAAAATGTGAAATGGTAAATTGGTCATATTTCAACTAAAAGGTAAATGATGCATATATTGAAATAAACCAAAATATATATATGAAATAAAAGTTCAAATATCCATCAAACAGTCATCCAACAATCAAAGAAAGACAATCCAAAATGTTTTAACAATTTAAATTAAAGTTTAACCCAAAAACAATCAAAGCAAAATAAGTCTATTTATCCATAGAAGGATCGGGAGGAGGAGGAGGGTAACGAGCTCTCATCTCAAGCGTGAGTGCATCCAAACGATCATTCATATCTTGTGGTCGAGCTCCCAAGGTAGAGAGCTGGGACTCAATGAATGTGAAGCGCGAATCCATGGACGCATACCGTAAATCAAATGTGTCCAAAAACGAACGAAAATATAGAGGCATTTGATCTTCTTGTGGAGCTGGTTCCGGTGCAGGCTTGTCATCAGATACGTGATCATCGATGTCTTGCATAAGTTGTTGAAATTCAGGATCATCGTCATCAGCCGGAGCCGGAGGAGGAGGAGCACGAGAGGAGCTAGGAGCAGTTCGCGAGGAACTAGCTCCCGGAGTTTGCTTGGCTGGTCTAAAAACCCATTGACCGGTTATCTCGTCTTGTTTCCAATCTGCTTTCTTCAAGGATGTGAGATTGATTTGATTTTGAAGTGGGATAGGATTGTCAAGAGAGACGTCTAGACTGAGTTTAATAAAGAGGTTACTAAGAAGACATCCATAAATTAATGTTTCAACATGTTTTGAAGGAACAATGTTTATGATGTCCACTAGTTGAATGAATAAAATGTGGGGCATATTTATTTTTATTTTATTTTTAAGACAATACATCCACCATAAATCCCTAGCACGAAGTGTGGAGTACCTACCTCCGAATGGTCTAAACCACCCAGAGATCATCAAATGGAGAAAATGATCGTGATGAGATCGTAGAGTACTAACACTGGAGTTTGGAACATAGGGATATTCCACATTTTCATTCTCATTATATACACCACTATCATCTAACCCAAATCGGAAAGCTATAGTCTCGTGGTCAATATTAATATATTGGCCTAAAAGATAGGATCTAATAGCTATAGTTCCATATTGAGTTTGATTTTGAATACACACCGCATTGGAATAGAAAATGTGGACCAATTGTTGATAGACGATAGGTTTAAGCTGAAACAATTTATCAAACTTCCAAGCTTTAAGAGTCGGAAGGTATTCTAAGTCAATGTCAACCATGATTTGAAGCGAAGGAATACGCTCTTCGCGAATTCTATAAGTTTGGAAAGAGTTTCTGTACCTAGAGTACAATTTGTCTCTACGACGCTCAGGCATGTTAAAACAAGATCCTAATAGAGATGAAGGTGGAGGAGGAATGGGATTAGGAGGTTGGTTTGAACGAGAATGACTCGATGAAGTTCTAGGGCGTTTAGGATTTGACATTGTTTAAAGGAAATCGGAATAAGGAATATCATCTGCAATTTGAAACACATGTATGCATAATCAATCCCAAAACTCAAATGAGTCCTCAATAATTCAAGGTTCTCTAAACCATATCCTAATGGGCTTGTTTTGAAAACTATTTAATAATATTTGATAATCATAATATAGTTTTCATGAAAACAACACAATTAAATCAAAAATATTACTAATTTTTGAAATCAATATTTTTTTTAATTTCGAAATTCAAAGAAAAATCTTGAAAAATTGTTTGTTTTTGACGAAATTGGTAGTAAAATCTAGTTTAGAACCAACAAACAATCAATGCCCGATATAATGTTCATCCTAGAACTAATCAAAACTAGTTCTAAAATAAAATAGAGGTTTTTGAAATATTACCTTGAAAATTCGGATTGAGAGGGATGAGGAGTTGTTTTGCACGATTTAATGATATAAGCAGGCTTGAAAGTTGAAAATCTTGAAGATTCTGACGAAAAACCGTTGATTTTGAGTAAGAATGGAGATTTAGAGAGAGAGAGGGATGAACGACTAGATATAATAGTTTTTAGGGTTTGAGATAAATGAGAAAAATAAGCCTTTAAAACCCCAAAACCCGATAGATGCATCGATGCATGATCCTGTGCATTGATGCACATTCAAGGCGTGCATCAGTGCATCAATATGATGAATCAATGGATATTCAAAGGGATCCATCGATGCATTGTTAAGTGCATCGGTGCATGAAGCAAAAAAAGTCAAAAATCCGTTTAAATACTTAAAATGCTAAATTAATTAGCTCTAGTGGTATTGGCAACTCATATATTAAAAATTAATCATGTTCAATCAATCAAATTAATATTTATTTGAACATAAAATTAATTTTCATCAAGAATCATAAACTCCCCCTAACTAATAGTAATGAATGTAATCAGAAATTACTATTATAAGCATTTTTCATTTAGTCTTAAAAGTGCTAAAATTATTTTAAACACTAAGTGAAGATAGGTCAGTTAAACCTAATTCTCTCCTAAGTGTCCAAAAACGTTCCTTGTCTAAAGGTTTTGTAAAGATATCCGCTAATTGATGCAAAGTATCAACAAATTCTAGAACTACATCTTCCTTAGTGACATGGTCTCTAATGAAGTGATGTCTTATTTCAATGTGCTTAGTTCTAGAGTGTTGGATGGGATTTTTAGTGAGACAAATAGCACTAGTATTGTCACACTTGATAGGAATGGTACC